TGTCTCCGTAGTTGATGAGCTTGATGTACGAGAGGTCGTCCTCGGAGCCGTCCTCCTGGAGCGAGACATACACGCGGGCGAAGCGGTTCACCCGCGCGTGGAACTCACGCACGAGCCGCGGAGGGATGTCGTCGCTCTCCTCGAGGGCTTCGGCGGCGGCGGCGGACCAGTCGTATCCGGAGCCGTACCTAGTCGAGGGTCGCCTCGGGTCACCGTCACCTCCGGTGATCTGGAGGGCGGCAGACCCGCCGTCTCTGCGCCCATGATTGCGCGAGGAGCTGGCCCGGGTCGGCCTGCCGGGGGTGGCGGGCGAGGAGGGCACGGCGATGCCGCGCGCGTTCTCCTCCCCCTCGCGCGACTGGCGCGAGTCGCGCGAGTCGCGCGCCTCCGCGCCGCGAGAGAGGCGCCGCTCATGGCGGATCTGCAGACGGGCGAGGGCAGCTGCGAGTCGGTGTGCTGTCGAGGTCGGCCGCGTGAAAGTGGGCGGGGGAGGAGGGGGCGGGAGGGGCGGCGGAGAGGCCGAGTGGGGCCGCCCTCTCTCGGGACGCGCAGTGCGTGCGCGGGGCGGCGCGTGGCTGCTGGTCACCTTGGACAGCAGGTTTTGCTCCATGAGCTTTGCCGAGTTGACTATCACCTCGATGAAGATCACCTTGGCACCGAGGCGCTTGTCTGACTGGATGGTCTCGGCCGCCCAGCGCCGCCGCTCCTTGGAGGTGCACGCCCACTTCTCGTAGAAGCTACCCATCCCGTCTGACGTGAAGATGATGGCCACCTTGCCCGAGTCGACATTCTTGCGCCGCCGGTCCGCCTCGTCCACCAAGAGGTGCTGCTCGGTGTTCTGGATCTCCTCGCGCGCCGCCGCCATCGCCCGCTCGGCGGCGCGCGCCTGCGCGGTCTGGCAGTTCCGCGGCACCGGCACCGTCATGTTCCCGCCCGCCCGCCTCGCCGCCTCGCCCGACGAGTTGAGGAAGAGCTTGAGGTCGCGCGTGAGCGTGTTGGCCGACGCCTCGATGCGACACTCGTCCTGCGGTTGCGCCGCGTGGCCAATGTCGACGGGCTGGCAGCCCATGTACCTGCGCATCGAAGCCGCGGTGAGCGGCGCCTTTGCAGCGGTGGTGTGCACTGGAGCGGGGCGGCGGCGCGACGCACTCTGCGACGTCAAAGAGCTTGACCTCTGCGCCGTGGAAAAAGTAGAGGTACTTTGAGAGACGCTGTGCGATGAAGCACTTGCCGCGCTCCGGCAGACCAATCACGATGAGAACATGGCGCACGCCGATCAGGCCTGCCATCCCGGCCGAGGGCGGTGGGACGGAGGTCGGCAGCGGGTTCTCGGACGTCGGCCTGAGCAGGTGCTCCTGGCTTTTCACGTACACGTCGTTGAGCGCGCCGGAGCTCTCCACGCGGGGTCTCGGCTCCATGCTGCGTCGGCCTTGTCTTTCAGGTTCTCTTCGCACCGCTGCTCAGAATTCGGCAATTTGCAGAAAGAATTTTACGCGCCCAAGTGCCCTGCCATCCCTCCCTTGCTGTCGTCCTCCCATCCCTCCCTTGGGTTGTCCGTTTTCTTTCTTTTCTTTCTTTGCTGTCATATCCTATGCGAGAGAGATCCCCTGTGCCCTGTGCCCAGCCCTCTCCGCGCGGCGATGCGCCCTCCCCCCTCGCTTTTGCAAAATCCTGCAAAGGTGGGGACGTGTCTGTCCTCGACCCAGCCCTAGCTTGGGATGTCCGTTGTATTTATTTATTTATTGCTCTGTTTTCTTTCTTTCTTTAGCCAAACAGCGCTCCGTCTCCAATTGTATGACCCACGCGGAGAAGAACAACAACGGCGACTCGCCGTACTCGGTCTCTTTCACCGCGACGCAGAGCGGCGACGTCACCGTCCATCTCCACCCTCACTCGCAGCTCGAGCGCGCAGTCCGCCACGAGCGGCAGGCGCAGGCTGTGGAGCCGCCCACGAGCGCGAGCCCTACGGCGCCGCCGGCCCCAGCCGCCGCGCCGCCGGCTGCTGAGCCAGAGTCCTCGCGACCGGTGCCAGCGGCAGCGGTCGCGCGCGGCTGTAGCCGCGTAGGAGCCCTGGGTCGGCCACCGTGGCCACTGCCCAAGGCAGCGGCCACCATGGCAGCGCGCTACGGCGTCTGGAAAAAGATTTTTTTTCCGAAAAGAAAGCGCCCAGTTCTCGCCGCGCATCGGTACTCGTGTCTTGGTTGCCAACACATACCTAAGATCGGTACTCGTAAGGACGTGAAGCGCTCCCACGTCTAGCGCTACACGTCCAGTGCTACCAGGCATCCGATGCACGCCTTCACGGACGCCGAGCGTCGCGAGCTGATCACGGACCAGTCGAACGCCGTGCGGCGAGCGATGAACGAGGGCAACCTCACGACCGCACGTCGAAACCGGACGTGGCTTGTCATCGTCGGCGCGCTGCTGCTGTTTTCGGCCTACCGGTTGATGCGCGGCACGAGCGTGGTGACTACGCTCGCAGCAGCGGACGCTTCGCGGGCAGAGGAGAGCGCAGGGAGGTTGCCGCTCGCAAAGGTCGCAGCGGGCATATAAAGAAAAGTAGAACCGACAAACTCAGACGCATAAAGACAAAGAGACACGAGGTGTTGTGTATTCTTGTGTGCGGTGTGTGATCACCTTCACCCAGCCGCGCAACACGCCGCACACAGGTCACAGCGTCTCACCGCTTCGCGAGCGACAGTCCGCCCACCGATTTGCCGTGCGACGCAAAGAACACGAGCGGCTCGTCGATGAGGGCGTGGAGGGAGTGGCCATCGATGTCCTTGCTCTCGACGAGAGACTTGTAGAGGCGTGCCGAGACCTGCGCCTCTCGCACGCGGTACTCTAGACCCGGTTGCTACTTTCAATGATAGGGATTTATATTTATTTGGTGTTGGCAGTTGGGTCACGGGCTTTCTCCATCTGAAGCAAGGTCGTTCGGATTTTTCGTTTTTTGCACCTACGCTGTTCTTCTTTGTCATGGGGGGTCGGCCGGAGGAGTACGCCGGCCTCTTCGACGGCCCATAAGGGGCCGTCGCCTGCTGTGCCATTTGTAGTGCCAGTCCGAGCCAGTCTTCTGCTGTGAGAGGGGCTTGGATGGTAGAAATCTTTGTCGCTTAGGCGGCTCCCGTGGTGTACCTGTGTTAGTGCCAGTGCGCGCCAGTCCCGTGCCTAGTGTCGTGCGAGGGAGTTTGATTGTAAAAAAAATCGTTATTGAGGGCCTAGTCCGTAAAGCACCGCCGCACACGGAATTCCGCACACGACGAGGACGTCGCCGATCGATCGTCACCCGCTCCGCCCGCTCCGCCGCTCCTCCCTCCATAGGTTGTACATCACACATTCCCCCTCCTTCAGACGCTTCAGACTGCGCGACGGCGCCCCCCCCCCCCCCCCCTTGCACCCCCCCCCCCCACCCGCCCACCCACACATTGCGCCCACCGCCCGCCGCACAACACGCAACACACAACAAGTGCTCGTCTTTTCTCCTGTCACTGTCTGGTACATACATACAAAAAGAAAGAAAGAAAACAGACAACCCAAGGGAGGGATGGGAGGACGGCACGCCGCCACCACACAGGGATTTTAAGGAGAGGGGTGTGGTGCGCTAGCCGTCGCCCACCCTTGGTTGGGCGTCCGCCTCTTGAGCACTTGAGCACTGGATAGGGTCGATTCCGCATGGTACGGGACCCCTCGATCGTCTCGCCCTCCCTCACTGGTGTGTTCATCGGGGGGGGTCATAACAAACACGGTACAGGATCGAGGTGCACGCTGCCGAAGCAGTGTCGTCCCCCCTCTCCCCGACGGCGATGGCGGTGTGACCGATCGAGCTACAAGAGGAGCTTGTTCAGCAGGATCCGAGTTAGACCAGTGCACTACCTCACTGGGCCTGAGATCACCAGAACGCTTCTCGTCACCGTCTCGGATTTGTGTGGGATCGAACCACTCCGGGATGGGCAAGCCCATCGTTCTGGTTAATTGTCAAAATTCCTGTTGTGCAAGAGGGGAGGGGGCTCTGACGGAGTGTGTGGTGGGAGAGGGCAGGGAATGAGCGCAGGGGAGGGGAATCGCCTCTTCCTATCTCTCTTCGCATTCTCTCTCCGATTCTCGCTGCAACCTTCGCGCCACCTCGCGGTCGCCCCCTTCTCGTCGTGCTCTCCCTTGTCGCTTCTTCCTCTGTCGCGTCGCTCTCCTCTGCCTCGTTCTGCGCCGCCGCCGCCGCCTGCCGTTCCCTTGTTCTCGCGGCTTCTTTCGCCTTTCATACATTCTCCTGTCATATAAAGTACAGTGGGTTGCGGGCATTAAGAAAACAGGATTCCGCGGCACGCCGCCGTTTCTAAGCCTTTCCACAGCCCTCATCCACCCCACGCCGTGGTTTCTTAGCTCCGGGCGGGGCACTCAATCAAGCCAGAGCGCCGGCCCGAAGGATTTTTAGGTAAGAAGAGTGTTAAAGCTCGGTCCGCGAGGGCGATGCCAAGAGTCTGCCGCCGAGTCGGCTCTCTGGATGAGGGGAAGACGCACACACGCCTCCATCCACTGACCACTCCACTCAGAACACCGCAGACTTGAAAAGTGACAAGTGCGCTGCCGCAGGCCCAGGCGAAGAGAAATTTTGAGCTGCAGCTGGGGCTCCGGACCCGTTCACACTCGTGTCTGGCCTTTTCTCGGGGCCGCGCCTGCGGCGCCCCGTGGTTTCTTAGATTTTTGCGGAAATCGCTTGGTAGGGTTTCTTAATGCGACGTTTTCTTAATGCCCGCAACCCACTGTACATACATCTTGTCTGCTCCTGTGGTGCGGGCGACGGCTTCTGAGGAAGCCGTCGCCCGCGCCTCGCCTGTCGCGTGAATCGTGTCGTGGAGCACTTGGAGCACTTGGAGTGCAGTCATCAACCTCTGGCACCGCCCTTGCTGTAAAATTTCTTTGTCATCCATCGTTCGCTTACCGAGTGCGAGGAGTGCGAGGCCTACGGACGAGGCGCTCTCAATCCGCGTAGAGTCGGCTCGATGCCAATGGCGCTCGCCTGCGCGACCCTCCTATCCATCGGCTTTGTCGGGCCGCAGGGGCCTATCCGTCGGACTGCAGTCGTCGGCCCGCGTGCCAGATCGGCCCGCTGCTGCGACGCCGGCGACGAGCCCGCCGAGTCGGCGCTCAAGAGCCTGTTCACCACGAACCGCGACTCGCCCGACGCGAGAGCCAACCAGCTCGCGTGGGCGCGGAGGCAGATGGAGGCGGAGGTGCCGCAGACGACGCTCGACGGCGCGCCCATCGCCGGCCGCGACGACCTCATCCGCAAGTACATTGCAGCGGAGAAGGAGAAGCTGGGGCGCGAGCTGGAGTGGGAGGAGGCGGCGGGCGAGGTTGACGCGTGGCTGCTGAAGCAGGCCACCGCGGCGCCCGCCAAGACGTCGGCGGCGGACGTCGGCGCCGCGCTGGCCGTCTTTGCGGCCGCCTTTGCGCTGCAGCTCTACTTTTCCTCGCGGTGACCGGCTTCTTCGCCGTGAGTGCGAGAGTGGGGGGGGGGAGGGATCGCCACCGATCGCCTCGGCCTCCGTCATTAGTAATGTATCCGGTCTGACCGAATCTTCGGCTGGTGTGTATCGCGGCCCGCCATAAATCACACCTCCACGTGGACTCCACGCGCTGCCCGCCTGCGCCCGAACGCCGAACCCCCTGGTCAACTCACCCTCCACACCCCGTAGCAAAAGTGAGAGGGAGGCTGCTTCGTAAATTAAAATTCGTTTTTCGTTACTATAAAATGTAACTAAAATGCAGAGGGGACCCCGGAGGGGGCAAGAACCGAGCAACGCGCCTTTAGTTATGAGCGTAGCGAAATCTTCACAGGTGGTACTGCTGCAGCAGCCAGCGTGCGTGAGGCTGAATGCCGCGGCTGTCCGTCAGCCCGTGAGTGATGTTGCCGCCGCGCACCCGTTTCACCCATCGATTCGCGTTCTTGATGATCGTCTGGCACAGCTGCGGGTGCGCCTCCAGCCACTTCATCAACGTGTCCCACTTACTTGGGTCCTCCAGCGGCACGTAGTGCACAAAGGGAATGAGTAGCCCTTCCATGAGCCATGTTTCCCATCGTGGAACGGGCATGACCACCAGGCTCGAGCTCGCCAGCTGCCACGCCAGGTTGGTCGCATACGAGTTGCCCTCCAGGGATAGGACGTAACGATACTGGAGCGTCTCTCGCTGCGTCATGCGCTCGCCTTTGTGTTCGGGCTTCGAGATCCACGAGTCTTTGCCCTGGACCACCTGGGTGAAGCGAACGTTAAAGAACGCCTCGGAGAGCGCGTGCACATAGCGCCTCCGCCTGCCGGTGGTGGAGCCGCGCCACACGAGCGCCGCCTTCTTCTCGCGCCATGGCGGCATTGCGGCGGAGAGCCGCACTGCTTCGTTAACTACTTCGCCGAGGTGCCGCTCCCACTCCAAGGGTAGAACGATGCCACGCTTCCTGGAGATGAGGCGATTTTTTGTGAAGACAGGTGCAGAGCAGCCTAGTGTGAGCTGCTCTTCCTGGTCGCCGAGCTGCACCAGGTACTTCGTTCCGAGGGGGATCTCGCTTGCGGAGCATGTCGCCGTCATGTCATCCCACAGAGGGCACAGGGCCGAGGTAGGACAAGGCTTGCCGTGGGTAAAGACCATGATCTTGTCGACGCCTGGTGTGGCGTTCTTCCATGTCTCCAGCATGCACCCGGTGTGCGCACTGGCAGCGTAGTACGCAGTCCGAAAGCTCGCCGGAAAGGCGTCTTGGCTGTGCATCACGTCGTCGGCTATCGTCACGGTTGGCAGCGCCGCTGCCGGGAGCGGTAGCGCGATCGTGTTTGGCAGCATGGACGCAAAGCCGCCAATGCCGCACATTCCGATTACCGCCAGACCAAAGATCGTGGTCCGGCAAGGTCCTGCAGAGCTGGCGCCCTGCGATGACTTCTTGATGGCGGGCTTGCCCATCGATGCGAACCGGCGGAACGCCTCGAAGAAGAGAGCCGAGATTGCCGAGACGAGCACGAAGAAGCCAGACGGGCAGGCGAAGCAGGGCCAAGAGAAGTAGTTTGTGTCGCCCGAGGGAGCCGAGTCGGACGGCTCGCTTACGCAGCCGGTGGACGCCTCCTTCTCCTTGGCCTTCTCGTCCTCCTCCTCGTCGTACGCTTCGATCTCCGCGTTCGTCTCGGCGTCGTCGAGCAGATCGTACTTGTTGAAGACCTTCGTGGACTTGACCTCGCCCTTGCGCTCCGTCTTGTTGCGCGAGTTCAAGACGGTCCAGTCGGCGTCGCCCTACGCAATGATAAGGAGGGACGGGGTCAGAGAGTGGGTCCGTAGACGCACGGCGCAGAATGCAAGGCGCTCGCTGCCGGGGCGGGCGTCTCCTCCGGAAAGTCGTTGATCGTCGACAGCGGCGCGCCGCCAGGCGCCGCCGGCTTGAGGGCCGTGGCGACCTTGGTGACCGGCTTGAGCGCCGGGTCGTTCTTGATGACGCAGGTCTCGGCGTCAAAGGAGGCCTCCGCGCCAGACTTTGCGGGGACGTCCTTTGCGAGGGTGTTCTTGGCGCCGCTCACCTGTGGGCGAGGGAGTTTGGGGATGTCCCGGCCGCCCAGCTGATCTATCAGTGCTAAACTTGTCGGACGCATCGCGCAGGGCGCGGGGAGAGGAGAGGGAGCGACAACCGAGGTCATCGCTCCGCGAGGGGCGACCCCCCGGCGGACGAGGAACGAGTCACCGTTCACAGTTGTTGCTGTGAATGGACTCTTCGGGTCGGCTGCTGTTGCCAGTACTCTTTTGCTTTCAGCCTGCTGTGGAAACAGCTCACATTGTCTCACAAGAACTTATCAGCCGCCAAGGGGAAGAAGGGGGGGGAAGGGGGGGCCGCCGCCGAGCGGAGCCACCTCCGCAAGGCCGTTGGCGCTCGACAGCCAACGCATGCGCCTGGTGAGTCTGATGGCACACGTCATGGATTTCAATCTAGACAGCCATCCGGGAACCGCTGGTTTAGCTCGTGGGGCATCATGCCCGCCAGACTTCATCCAGGTACGCCTCTTGCGGCCGTCCCATGCTCCGCCGAAGACATCGAAAGCTCCGCACGGACTGCACACACACACGCCGCCTACCAACACATGGTGAGCACGTCTCTCGCAGCCTGTCATGCCTGTCCTATTCTTAAGAAGCACTTCGATTTTTTCCGAAAGATTCCGAGGAATCTACATAACGCCTTCATCCGTTTGCCCAACGGAGGCCATTTTTGGCCCCTACAGTGCTAGCACTGTAGTAGGTAGTAGTATATGGATAGTTATAGGTGACTAGTCATACAAGCACGAAGGGCGCACAGGTGCGGCTACAACGTACAAGCACACTACCTTAAGCTGTCCCTATCTCATGATTATTATATTTATGTTTAGGTGATCCACTCCACAAATATAGCTCCGCTTGCGTGCCTTGCTTGGGTTGTCGTCACCGCTGCTCCCCTAAACTGTCCCTATACCATTATTATTATATTACTAGTATTATTGTTGTCGTTTGAAAATCCTCCCCTAAACTGTCCATTAAGTATTCGTAGCCTCCAAGCTGGCCCGCGGAGAGGCTGGGAGCCGCGGCACTGGTCCGCGCCGCCAGCGGGGCGAGAGCAGCAGCCGACAACCAGCCGACATGGCAGTTGCGATGGCGCTTTCACAACACACACACACGCACTGTGTGTCCTATGTGAACGGCTACTCGCTGTCGTACGACGCGCACGGCTATCTCAGGCCGCACCCCGTCGCGGCGCGTGGATGGGCGTAAGGCCGGTCGCTCTGCCTCGATCCGGGCACGCTCGCGCAGCTGCGAGTAGCCTCCATGCCTACTGCGCTCCCGTGACGCCCGAAGCGGGCCCGCGCCATGCTCATCCCATTTTACGATGCTGACGCTCGTCCGCCGTCGCTGCCTGCTCGCAGGTCCAAAACCAGGTGGGGCGAGGGGCGCCGCCGCGGCTTCTCACGGGCTGGGCTCTCACGCTGCTCACGCTGCGAGTAGGTGCGGCCCTCTTGAGCCCCCCTTCCTCTCCATTCCGGTCACCGAAGACGATCCGGCGCCGCTGCCGTCGATCAAGGAGTTTCCAGCGGAGATGCCCGCCCCGGCGGCGAGCGCCTCGCATTCTGCGGCGCGCGTCTGCCGACCGCTCCTCCACCCGCCCCCCGCTTTCATTGCGTAGGGCGACGCCGACTGGGCCGTCTCGGCGGCCAAGGAGTTTCCAGCGGAGGAGCCCGCTCCGGCGGTGGGCGCCTCGCACGCTGCGGTGCACACGCGGAGCTCAACAATAGACGCACCCACCGCTTGCGCGCGCGTAGGGCATCGCCGACTGGACCACCCCGTCGGACCCGCGCCGCAAGAACGGGCGCAAGGGCGCACGTCCGCCCCGATCTGCCGCGTCAAGAACATCTCCCCAGTTCGGCGGCAGCAACGGGTTCGGATGCCTGCTCGGAACGGACGGCAACGAGGGCATCCTCGGTGGCAAAGGCAAGGCGACCGGCGGCTCCACGCCGTCGACAACAGACTCGGTGCTCGCCGCCTGCGTATGCGGCCTCCTCGCCCGCTCGCCGCTCTCGCACGACCAGTCTCGCGCCCTCCTGTTCAGGGTGCGACGGTCGACGTCGAGACGACCACGATTACCACGCTGGAGGGCTCCGTCTCTGCCTCCGGCCGGTTCCCGTGGTCAAAGTCCTACAGCTTGCTCCGCCTCTTTAGCATCCTCGCGCTGTTCTGCCTCGGAGCCGCGTTTGCGCACTCCTCGTACTCTGCCACCGCCGCGCTTCTCTCCTCGCAGCGGTACGACTGGCCGTGGCCGCGAGCGGCTGCAGCGCCGCCTCCACCCACGCCGTTGCTTCACTTGGCCGCGAGCGCGAATGAACTTCCGAAGGAGCAGCCCGAAGGCGAGCCGTACCATAAAGACGCTCGGACAGTGCATAACCAGTACGCCGACGGCTGCCGCTACGTCTTCCTTGACGTGGGCTCAAACATCGGCAACCACGTGCGGTTCCTCTACGAAGCGGAGAAATTTCCGGGAAGCTCATACGCCAAAATATTCAACGAGACCTTCCCGGTTAATCGAGGGAGGCCGGATGTGTGCGCGTTCGGATGGGAGGCAAACTCGGCGCACGTGCCGTGGCTAAACCGTCTCCAGCAGGCGTACAAGCAGCAAGGATGGCTCGCGCACTGGTTTGCTCCCGTGGCGGTGGCAGACAAGGATGGCACCATTGAATTCTGGCACGTGAACGATACGTACGACAAGAGCCACAACGAGTGGAGCTACTCGATGCGACATCTTGGCGCAGGGTTCAAGGAGGTCGTCCGTGCCATGGATTTGGCTCGGTGGATCAACGCGCATGTGCATCGCCGACGCGTGCCCGACGCGATCCGTGAGGACGACCCGCCCCCAGCTGTGGTGATGAAGATGGACATTGAGGGCTCCGAGTTCTCCGTCCTGCCCAGCCTATTGGCCACCGGCGCAATGTGCTCCATCTCCTATTTGACCGTCGAGTACCATTGCGCCGGTAGCCCTAAAAAAAAAGACAAGTGTCACATCAGGAAGAAGCACCTGAAGGATGCCCTGGACAGTGTCCATAAAGAATGCCCTGGAAACGTCAAGAAGCTGAAAGCCTCTCAACTCGATGACGAGGCATACGCGCTTAGAAGCTGCATAGACACCACGCATTCAGCTATATTTCTCAGCTGTATTGTACTCGTAGCCCCTGAATCACGCGATGACATAGCGTGTTCACACCCTGACGGTTGCCGTTCGTGCGGTAGGCATACGCGGTGAACTCAATACCGCTCCCACGTGCACAAGATACCTCCGACCTCGAGACTTCGGCCATGGCGCTGCCAAAGTCGGACCTCACAAGATACCTTACCGACAACATTCGAAGGCCAGCCCGGCGCCACTTCCCCCAGCGAGCGCATTATCGACAGGACGCGCATGAGCGCCCGGCCCAGCGCACGTGATCCGGTGCGCGACGGTTCTGGCGGCGCGATTTTGGGGTGAACCGTTTTGGGGGGCGGGCGATGCGCAAACGATCCATCGGCCCTCATGATCTAAATTGCACCCGTTCCGGCGCTAACACGCTTCCAATGTCCCCTGAGCTCCGGCAGCTGTCGAGACACATTGTGGTGCGGACTCCGCGAGGCGCTGCCGGGAACTTTCCGATCTCGCGCTGCCCGAATGCAGTCGACAGCGCGTGGAAGAATGCCTCGCTGCTATTGCCCAACCTGTTTCTAGAATTGGGTGGTCGATTTCGTGACTCTACGAACCGGGGGGCCCCCGGCAAGGGGATGCAGACGACGGGCTCGAGTCGTAGTTGTGTGAGGTGCCATAGATCTCCAGTATGGGGCGTTTATTCAAGACAAACAACAAAAAGAGCTTTTCGCATCACGCTTACAGAAAGATGGTAGGTTCTGGAAGAATATTTTCTTTGTAATAAAAAAAGAAATGCCGGGGCAAAGGATGGCCTCCCACCGAGGGGGGGCGAGGGTTGGGGAGATTTCTGCCTCGGGGAGGGGCAGTCGGAGGGGCAGACAGAGGGGCAGATCCCCTTGCAGCCTACACTACAACAACAGCACCCGAGGGTTTTACCAAGCTGCCAACCCTATTCACCCACTCCGGGCCCTGGGTTGGTTGGGTGGTCCCCCACTCTGCGCACTCCAGGCCTCCAGATGTTGGTTGGTTGGTCCCGCACTCTCCGCACACATATTGTCTATTACACACATAACCACAAACCAGACAGCCCCTGCCCCCTCCCGACGGGGACGCCACCACCCTCGCCCAGGGATCTACAATGCTGTCTTAAGGTCCGACAGGTTCGGCACCGGGCACCGCCTCGGTATACAAAATGCGCCTGCGGGCGGACCCTTACAGATCACAGATCATTACACACAATAACCGTTTTTACACAGCCTTGTCCTTATACGTGGCAAGCACCGAGGCAATTGCTGCCTTCGCTGTTGCCTTAGCCCTCTCGGCAATGGGGTCGTGAGCCGCCGTCACCGCAAGCGCAGCGCGCACGAACCGCCACGGGCTGCCGCGAGGCCCGGCGCGCGGTAGGCCGATCACTGAGGCAGTCGCTGCGTCCAGTGCGCAGTGGTGCGCCAGGTCCGATGAGGTCGCAAAGCACGGGCATCGTGGGCGCCCAGCCTTAGGCACTCGCAGATCTCGCGGCCCGCGCGACACTCTCGCAGATCTCGCGGCCAGCGGACACTTCCGAGAGATTTCTTCGTGCTTTCACAGGGGGGGGGGGGGGGCTGGTTGGCTGGTCCCGCACTTCGCGCACTCGGGCCCGGAAACAGTTGGTTGGTTGCGCACTGTGCGTGAATAGGGTTGGCAGCTTGGTAAAACCCTCGAGTTGCAGCAGCGCAGGATTCCTGAATTTTCCTGTGGTGAGTCTATCGGTAAGCGCGGGTTAGCGCGGGTTAGTGCTCACTAACCCGGCACGGGTCAGCACGGGTTAGAACGGGTTACCATAACCCGGCACTAACCCGGCCCTAACCCGGCGCTAACCCGGCACTAACCCATGCGGCTGGGGGGCATACGTCAGCATGGGTTATGGTAACCCGAGACTAACCCGGCGCTAACCCGGGTTAGTCTCTCCCTCGGACGGCTTGGCTGCACCTTGCCCCTTGGTGCTCTCCGCGGCAACGCCGTTATCGGTAAGTTGAGCGTGTATGGAGTGAGTCTATCGCGTATCGGTAAGCGCGGGTTAGCGGCGGTTCCACACGGGTTAATCCACACTAACCCAGCACGGGTCAGCACGGGTTAGAACGGGTTACCATAACCCGACGCTTACCCGGCACTAACCCGGCACTAACCCGAGACTAACCCGGCACTAACCCGAGACTAACCCTAGGACTAACCCGGCGCTAACTCGCGCTGCTCGGGGGCATACGTTAGGATGGGTTAGTGCCGGGTTAGCGCCGGGTTAGCGCCGGGTTAGCGTCGGGTTATGGTAACCCGTTCTAACCCGTGCTGACCCGTGCTGGGTTAGTGCGGCTTAACCCGTGTGGAACCCGCGCTAACCCGCGCTTACCGATAGACTCACCCTGTGGGGGCTGAGGGCCAAAAGTAAAACGCCCAACGCCGCTCTCGGCTCTCAGAGAGGCGTTATATCTCAGTAACCCCGCTCGCAGGTACTAGAGCAGCGTTCGTCAAGCTCAAACCCCACTCTGCACAACACAGAGCAGCGTTTGCCTAACAAGACTCCGCTCTGCAACCTTCAGAGCGGACTCTTGCTCAGAAAAACACCGACCGAGCACGTTCGAGCGGAGTCAAGTCAGTGCAACACCGCTCAACATAGCGGGAGCGGTCAATTTCCGCGGAGAGGCTGCTTTTGCCTCCCTCAGTCGCGCTCTCCTCCGCCCCTCCTCTTCAGAGCGGGACTTTGCTGAGTGAACACCGCTCTAGATGGTCAGAGCAGCGATTGCTTTAAGCTGACACCGCTCTAAATGACGTGAGCGGCGTCGCCCTGAATAGACGCTGCTCTGGGACGCCGGGACGGCGATGCCACCTGACGCCGACGGCGGATCCACGATCGCTCGTGGCGCGCGGCGCGGCGTGGCGAGCCCCGCCCCTGGGGTTGAGCAGCGTGTGGGTGGGTCGTCACTGCTCCGAGTAGTCAGAGCGGCGTCGCGTTTAGTGATACGCCGCTCACGTCATTTAGAGCGGTGTCAGCTTAAAGCAATCGCTGCTCTTACTAGCTAGAGCGGTGTTCACTTAGCAAAGTCCCGCTCTGAAGAGGAGGGGCGGAGGAGAGCGCGACTGAGGGAGGCAAAAGCAGCCTCTCCGCGGAAATTGACCGCTCCCGCTATGTTGAGCGGTGTTGCACTGACTTGACTCCGCTCGAACGTGCTCGGTCGGTGTTTTTCTGAGCAAGAGTCCGCTCTGAAGGTTGCAGAGCGGAGTCTTGTTAGGCAAACGCTGCTCTGTGTTGTGTAGAGTGGGGTTTGAGCTTGACGAACGCTGCTCTAGTACCTGCGAGCGGGGTTACTGAGATATAACGCCTCTCTGAGAGCCGAGAGCGGCGTTGCGCGTTTTACTTTTGGCCCTCAGCCCCCTGTGGGTGCCTGCCCGCTGTCCCCGCTTGTTGCTTGCTCGCACAATGATGTCCTTGCTCGGACTCGGAGCCGCCACCGGAATCAACATCGGCGCGACGAAACTCACACCTCTCCTCAGCGGCCGCGTCGCTGCCGCCGCGACGCCAGTAACCCTCTCATCGCTCTACGAGGAGCGAGGAGCGGTTATCTTTGCCGTTCGCCGACCCGGATGACCGCTTTGCCGAGAGGAAGCTGCGGATCTGTGCAGCGCTCTCTCTGGCATCGACGTCCCGGTCGCCGGTGTCGTGAAGGAGGAGGAGAAGCCTCCCGACACGGACGCGGACAAGATGCTCGGGGTGGCGGAGTTTGAGGAGCAGTACTTTTGCGGCCCGCTGTACCTGTCGGACGAGGACAGGACGCTGTACCAGCACCTCGGCAACCAGCCCATCTTCACGCTCGGCACGCTGGCGCGGGCTCTACTGAATCCGTTCAAGGCGCGGCGCGAGATGAAGGAGATGGGCGAGCGGATGAAGGCGAGAAAGATTGAGGGCAACATGGTCGGTGACGGGCAGGTCAAGGGTGGCGTGCTATGCATCGCGCCCAGCGGCGAGATCAAGCACACCTTCTACGAGGACCCGGGCAAGGGCATCCCGCAGGAGGCGCAGGCTGCAATCGTCGAGGCCGTGCGCTCCTTCCAACAGGCCTCGCCGAAGCAGCTCGCCGCAAACTAGATCCGCCCGGTCGCACGGGCTGCGCCGCTGAGAGCTCGCGCACTCGCGCTCTCTCGGCGCGGATCGTCCACCTCCTCTCTCAGGGATGACGGCGGCCTGGCCCAAATGCCAATCGAGCATGCCAACTGCCCGAGCTTTACTGAGGTGGAGAGGGGGGAGGTTGGGCGCGGGCGCGGGCGCTTGTTCCTTCTAGAGTGTCATGTATGCGATGACCGATGTGTGAAAATGTCATCGGTTTTGGTATTGCTCGACTCAGAGACGTCAGACGAGACGACCCCCACCTGCCCCCTCACCGCGCGCAGCCGCCTCCGCCTCCCGCCGCTCCATAAAGCGCTTCGGCAGCGCTGCTCCGATGGCCTCCTCCCAGCTGGCACCCGAGTTGACGGCGGCGAGCATGGAAACGACGCTGACCACTGAGAGGATCGGGTGGACGTCGGGCCGCGGCGCGCACTCCCGCAGCGGCAGCCGCACCGCCCGTCCTCCTGCAGCACGCGACCTCTCGAGCGAGCGGCCGCTTACCACAGAGCGGTCGACGAGGCCCGACACGACATAGGTCACATCTGGATCTAGCGTACTCAGCGGCTCGCCCGCGTCTGGGCTCAGCCACACGAGCTCGTCTGCGGGCCAGCGAACGTCCGCCCTCTCGCCCACTCGCTGGCAGTCCCACCGAGCGAGGTCTCGGTGTAGCATGTCCGGGTGGAGCGAGGCCTCGTCGAGGGCGGAGAAGGAGAGGCGCAGCGGGTGCGGGGCGCCGCGGTTCGCGCCGTACGCGCGCACCAGCTGGCGAGAGAGCGATCGACGCTCGCGGCTGCTCATCGCCTCGCCAAAGGAGAGCTCGACCGAGACGGACGCGCTCTGCGGGGCCACGGCGCACGCAGGTGCAGTCAAGAGGAGCATATAACGTGCGAAGGGGTTCCCAACCACCAGCCCGCTCACTACAAGTGACCAAGAATTTTACAACGTTCGAGCCTCTCGCACACGAAGAAGGCCGCGAGGTGGCATGAAGGTTGCAGCGAGAAGCGGCGAGAGACTGCGAAAAGAGATACGAAGAGGCAGACTCCCCAGGGTGGGCGACGGCTAGCGCACCACACTCCTCTCCTTAAAATCCCTGTGTGGTGGCGGCGTGCCGTCCTCCCATCCCTCCCTTGGGTTGTGTGTTTTCTTTCTTTCTTTCTTTACGAAGAACAAGAATTCTACAATCACAAGCCCCTCTCACAGCAGACTGGCACGAACTAGCACAAGAAACTCCGCTCTTTACCCGACCGCTGCGAGCGGAGCGAGCCGAAGTGCGAAGAGATTTTTTTGAGCACAAGGTCGTACTTGCATGTATGTACGTCCCTGTAGCCTGTTTTGACAGTACGTACGTAGTGTCGAAGTACGTCCGTGATTGAGCTGAGGTAGGGTGCCCACAGGACCCAAAAAAAGAAAGGAAAAAAGAAATGGGCACTCCCGATCGCAGCACTTCGTGTTGGATAGTCGAGATATTGAGAGTGTGACTAGGAGGGTGGGACGCTGGGGATTCTCAAAGGTATACCCTTGGAATGGCCGGATCCAGCCTTAAAAGTACGAGATCTCGCGCGCTTCGCGCGCTGCACCGCCTATTCTCCGCGGCTGTGTGGCCTCTGACCGAGAGGGGGTACACCTCGCGGGAGCCAAGACTGCTCGACCGACACAGGGGGGTGCCTGCCCAAGACCCAGGTAAAACCCGGGTATTGCATTACAGACCCTATTTGGAGCTGTATTCTTGTCATATATTTGTTTGTCATATTCGAGAATATAGACCCTGTTTTGGACAAGAATACGGAAAGAATACGGAAAAAGAATATGGGTAGTGCTTGGCGAGAAAAACGTGTACAGGCCAAACAAGTGCCTGTGCGCCATAGGACCCCTACCTGCCAGTAAAGCCCGAATCCTCCTCCTCTGCTTGCGCCCAATTCGCCAGCCTCCGCACAACACAGTGGATAGCCGCAACCGTTCGGCGTCCGAAGAGCTGCAAGGTGGCGGCCAGTTCGAGATTCGCTCTACAGGGGGAGAAATTTTTTGGAGACCCCTACCTGCCAGTAAAGCCCGAATCCTCTGCTTGCGCCTTCGCCAATCGCCTGAATGAGGGTGACGTCGTCGGACAGTGAGGCGAGTGTCTCGGACAAGTTGAGGCCCGCCGTGGTGCCCAAGAAGCCGGGAGGCCGATTTTCCGTCGTCAAGCCGAGCGACACGGTCAACCAGGCCGTTCGTGAAGTTCTCGACGGAATCATTTGCAATGCGGTGAAGCAGGCGGGGGGGAACGGCGTCGCGGCGGCGGAGGAGAGGCCGCCGACGAGCGCCGCGGCCCCCCGGCCGCCTCGGCTGCAGCCAGTGCATCCCAACAGCCCCAACCAGCAGGGAAAGCACTCGCCGCGGGCGCTCGCGTCTCCACGCGGCGGCGCAGCGGCACAGCAGGGCGGGCAGCACGGCTTCGCGCCGGCGCAACCGCCCGCAGCGCAGAACTGGCTCGGCCGCTCCTCCCAGGGGGCGCCCGCCGGCCAGCCTCGCGCTCCGCCGGCGGCCGTCCTCACCCAGCACCCGCCCAAGCCGCAGGGCCCGCCGCTGCAGGCGCGGCCCCGCACGGGCCCCCAGCCGCCTCAGCAGAACGGCGGCCCGCCGGCGCCCAACGCGGCGGCGCCCCTCGCGGCCGCGGTCCCGCCCGCCACCGGACTCGCGTCGGCGGCGCGGCCGCGGCCGGCGGCCCCTCTAGCCGCGGCGGGGCAGATGCCTCTGGGTCAGGTTGGGCCGCCGCCGCAGCCGCAAGGGGCGCCGCAGCACCGGCCCGCGGCGCCGTCGCAGCAGCCGCACTGCCCGCCCGCCGCCCACCCCGGCGCCCACCCCCCCCTCCCTCCGGGGCACAAGAAGCGCATATTCGCCGTCGGCGGGAGCGGCAGCGGCGAGGCGGACCGCGCGGGCGCGGGCAAGCCGCCGCGGTGTTGCAGCGAGCCGGGCGGGCTCGCCTCGATGGGGTCGGGCAGCGCCGCCGCCGCTGCGGCCGCCCCCCCCCCGCCGGCGGGTAGCGGCGACCGCGTCGGCGATCGGCTCGGCTTGCTCGCAAGCGAGTGGAAGGTGCAGCAGTCACTTGTCCAGCTGCTGCTCGACTCGCTCGCACGGTCGGCGCCGGTGGCCGCGGCGTCGGACGCCCTGCGCGCCGGGCCGACCACCTCCCCGCCCGAGCCCGCCCGCCCGCCCGCCCGCGCGCTGCCCTCGCGCCCGCCCACGCCCAGCTCGGCCGCGGGCGGGGAGGCGGGGGAGGCGCAGCCGGCGGCGGCGGGGCAGCCGGCGGCGGCGGGGCAGCCGGCGGCGGCGGGGCAGCCGGCGGCGGCGGGGCAGCCGGCGGCGGCGGGGCAACTGGCGGCGGCGGCGGGGGAGAGCACCTCTGCGGCGTCGGCGTCGGCGCCATCCCTCGCCGGCGCCAGCCTCGCGGGCGAGGGCGACGCTCTGCGGCACGGGCGCGACGCAGAGCGGTTCGCTTCACTCGCGCGCGAGTTGCTCGAGCTGTCGTCGGAGAACACGCGGCTGCGGCGCGAAAACATGGAGCTGCTGCGAGACTTGAGAGAGGTGCGGCTGAGACCGCCGCCGCCGCCGCCGGTGGCGGGCCGCGCAGCGTCTGCGTCGCCGCTCGAGTTTGCGCCGCCGCCGTTTGCGACGCAGCAGCCGGCGGCGCAACACGCGGCGCTGCAGCAGCAGCAGCAGCTACAGCAGCAGCAGCAGCAGCAGCAGCAGCAGCAGCAGCAGCAGCAGCAGCAGCAGCAGCTACAGCAGCAGCTACAGCAGCAGCAGCAGCAGCAGCAGCAGCAGCAGCAGCAGCAGCAGCAGCAGCAGCAGCAGCAGCAGCAGCAGCAGCAGCAGCAGCAGCAGCAGCAGCAGCAGCAGCAGCAGTTGGCAGCGCAGCAGGCGGCCCAGCAATATTCCACGGCAGTGCACGGCGACCGCTACGATGCGCAGCCTGCCGCCCTCGCCGCGCCAGACAGGCCGCCGCCCGACGCGTCGTAGGGGAGGGAGAGAGGTGTGCTTGCCGCGGGCACCCCGCTCCCCTCAACAGCTCCCCTCAACAGTCGCACTTGCAGCTCATCGCGAGCACGCCGTAGGCTGACGACCATCCCAGCCGCTCCGGCGAGGCGCAAAGGGGGGGTTCCACACTACTTTCCGGTGCGAGGCGAGCTCGGCGGCGGGGCAGCGCGGGGTTTCGGGTTTGCCGACCGCTATTTGCCACGTGGATGATCTTAGTTCTCGCGTCGACGACTGGATCGTGTGTGACTTTGTTTAGTTGTTTGGAGGGTTCGGACGGCTCGAGCTTGGAGCTTGTGCGTCGTGTGCGGACGTCCTGCTTGATGCTTGCTACGGCCATATACAGTGTGTGTTGCTTTGACGACAGCGCTTGCTGCGAGTCAGTTTTACTCTTTTGAGCGCGTGACATGGGGCTGGGTCGAGCGTTTTTGATATCTCGGTGAGTGGGCGCCCGCCCGCCGCCTCTGAGGGGGTCGGGCCCCCTAGACTGAAAACAAAAACAAAGTAGAAACCGTCAAAACAGGAAGTTTTCTTGTAAGCCTCGTTCCAAGCGGGGCGCAAGACTCTTCCTCCTGCCTTCGGGCCCTCTCGCCTTCGGGCACCACGCACTCTCACACGCCAATACACGCGCGGCCGGCGCCCCTCATGCCCTTCCCCACGCACACCGCGTGAAAACTGCGCGTACGTCCCCGCGCGCACGCAAACACACGAGCAGCGCTCAGAAGCCTGTGTCATGTGCGTCTGCCCTGTGCTGGCACCCCATGGCTGCGCCAGCCGCCCGCACCAGCCACGCACCTCTCGCACCATCAGAGCCAGCCGCACGACCACTCACGCCGCGACGCGCGCGCCGCAGTGAACCCCACTGACAGTCCACGCCCTTTGCCAGGCGCCTATACACACTGTTTCAGGCACCATGCCCTACCAGAGCGCGCCGCGCCCGGCACGACGCAGCTCCACCGCGCGAGGCGCGCGCGGCGGCACGCCGCGCGCGGCGGCCGCCACGCACGCGCCCCGCCATCCGACCAGATCTGCACAGCCTGCCAGCAGGCTGCAGCAGACCTGCTGGACACTCAGCACATACGCACGCTCGCGCCGCCCGCCCACTGCACGGCTGACTGCACCCCGCGACAGCTCCGTTCCACCAGGCGAGGCGCGCTGGCTCGCCGCGCGCGCTCCCGGGCGGTTCGGCCAAGAATGCTTCACCTCCCCACGCCTGTGGCTGTGCAGAGTGCTCTCTGCCTCTGTGCAACAATACCCTCACACACGCCCGCGCGGCTCACGCCAATCCCCCGCGCCCTGAGAAAACCGCGGCCCCACAACAAGTGAGCTCCCAGCCAGCAGCCCCGCACGACGCAGATTGCTCCTCGCACGCCTGCACCTTCTCAGATGTTCCCACCCCTCGAAGCTTTTCTTTGGAGAAGTTAAGCTCGTGCGCATGTACTGCGAGATAGCTAGCCCATAAAATCTTGTCAAAACAAAACACTCCTTTGGAGAAAACGAATCCAGGCATAGTGTGTGTAGCACCGCCGCCAACGACTCCCTGCGACGCCACACTGACAGCTAGACGGAACTCACCAGTCCGATAAGGATCAACTGGAAAGCTGAACCCTGGGCTTAGACAGAACGGGCGTGGCAGGCTCCAGGGGAGGCCACGCTCTACCCGGGGCGCTAAGGAGGGAAATCGAAACTGTTGGGCGTCCATCGACAAACAACCCACGATGACACATCGCCAATCCCCCCCCCCCCTGAGGACCTAACCTTGGCACGTAGAGCACGGGTCATCTCGGAGAGAGAAAGGGGAGGGATGAGGGGGGGATAAGGGAGCGCCACACTGAGGGAGTACCCTAGAATTGAGAGAGATCAGGGGAAGCCACTATGGGGGACGGACACCAAGGCACTAACTTCATCACTCATTCGCCCCGCACACCTAGCCTACACCAGTACGCGTTACACGGAGCGCCAAGGGGGAGAGAATGGAGGGGGGATAATATGCGTGCCCGTTCTTTTAGCTAAAGCAATTTTTTTTAAACCGTCAAAAACAGCCTGCGAGAGCGGCGCTGCGCGCCGCCTAGAGGACGACGACAGCGAGGATGTCATGTTGCGCGACGGCGTCATCCATTTCGTCACGCCGCTGTGAAGTGGTGCCACTTGTGCAGGCGGCACGCCAGGTCCCTCGTCCAGAGACACACTTTCTTGCGCAACCTCGCTCTATCACGTGCAATCGTATGCGATCTCGTGCAGTCTCGCGCAACGTCGTGCACTCTCGTGCACTCTCGTGCATTCTCGCGCAATCCCGTGCGATCTCGTGCGGTATCGTGCAATCTCGTGCAATCTTGTGCAATCTCGGATCTCGTACAATCTCGCACAATCTCACACAATCTCGCGCTGTCTCGTACGGTCTCGTGCAATCTCGAGCCACTTGTGTTTTGTCTGGGGAGGGGCTTCTCCTGCGGAGTCGTGCGTGCGCAGGGCTCCTCTTTGCTTTCTTCTACTCCCTACTATCATCTCGTTCCCGTCCTACCAGACGCTCGCCGGGACGCCGGCGCGCCTCGCCGCTGCCCCCCTCTCGCCGCTGCTCCGCTCGTGGCCACCGCCTCCCCTGTCAATCCCGCCGCCCGCACCACCGCTGCCACCGCCTCGCGCCTCGCCGCCGCCGCCATCGCCCTCCCCCTCGCCGCTGAGCGGGGTGCTTGGCGAGCCTCTCACACCGTCCCGGCCGCGGTGCCGCACAGCCTGTGCACACACTCTCTCCTTCTCTGTACTCTGACTGCGCCGCCGGCGCCGCCACGCATGCAGTTGGGTGCTTGGGTCAGCGGCGTGAGCCGAGAGGTGGCCCACCGCTGACAGCGCTCAGCGCGCGGGGGGGGGGGGGGGGGGGGGCACACTGCACACACACGCGCGCGGGACGCGCCCCGGCAGCAGCTCCTGCCTCCTCTCCGCTCTCGCGCCACCCCGCGCGCGGGGGCGTGACGTCTGTAGCGAGGCGACGGTGGGACGGTGTCCGATTCTGGGGTTTTCATGTATAAAATGCGGCTCTACTCGCATCGACCAATAAAATACCGGGGGAGGCCTGCGCAGCCTTTTTGGAGAGAAAGAATTCTTTGCACCACGCTCCTTGCTTGTTGCCTGTCGTCGCTGGCTCCCTTCTGATGCGGCTTCCGCTCCCACGTACCGCACCCAAACGGACGACGCCGCCTGCCGGCTCGGAGCAGCGGCAAACAGCGGACGGAGGCGATAGAGGCGGGCGTTGGACTCCACGGGTGAGCATCTCGGCCCTCCATCGTCATCCACCACCGCCGCCTAGCTCGTCGCCGCCGCCTCCGCTGGACGCACATGCTGCTCTATCGTCGGCGGCGGTCAGTCTCCGCTCGAAGAATGCAATGAGGTCGCCACGCTTCTTCCCACGCTCGCGGAAGCCAGCGCCCTCCGAGCCGGCGTGTGAATGTTGCACCGACGGCGTGTCAGAGCTGCGCCTGAACCAGCAGGGTTCGCTGGTCATCACGCTCCGACGAGCGACGGGCCTGCGCCGAGCCGACGTGCGAGTGCTCGGTGGAAGCTCTGACCCGTACGCCGTCGTGGCCGCGGCAGGAGGCGCGCCCGCCACGAGTAGCACCGTCAAGTCGAGTCTTTCTCCAACCTGGGAGGAGACCCTGCGGCTCGCTGGCGGCATCGCGTTCCGCGAAGTGCTTCGCCACCCTCTGACTGTGACCATCATGGACCGCGACACGAAGAAGATCCGCGAGCTCCTCTCCTCCTCGGACGACGTGCTCGGAACGGTCTCGGCGTCGCTATTGCCGGTGCTTGGGCGACAGAAGGCCCTCCGCTGCAGCGACTCGTTCGAACCTCCCCTCCACGCCATAGGCGCTCGCCGACGAAGACGCTGCCGACCTCGTGCTGCCCTTGTCTCCTCCCGGCCGCGGGACAGTGTACCTTCGCGTCGAGTGGCGGCCGGCGGCGGTGACGTTTGAAGTGTGGGATTCTTCGCCAACCGCGCAGCCGCCAGACCCGCCGGTCGAGGTTGTCCACCGCACGACGGGGGCGGGCGTCGCGGAAACCAAGGCGTCGCTGCTCGAGGCGTCGCTGCTCGAGGCCTGCTATGATGATGCGGGGCAGGACCCCAGCGACGAGGCGCCGGAGGACGAGGCACCGGCGAGCACGCGGCAGTACGGCACCGGCTGCTGCATCTGCTGCATCGGCTCGCACTCGCAGGCGCAGAGAATCATCGTTCCCTGTGTGGTGATGTGAATCTGCAGAATCTGAGAGGAGACTGTGCCACAAGGACAGCTGTGAGCTCGGAGAGCTTGACAAAAAGACCCTGCACAACGATCGCACGGCCACGGGCGGGGACCCGTTCCTTTTTTCCCATCTCCTAGTAAAAGTCTCCGTTTTTATTTATTTACAGAGCTCTGTCCTCTGAGAGAGCTTGAGTCATCCCTTGAGGGGTTCGGGAACGCAGGTTTCGGGAATAAGAGTAATTGACGTCGCGGGAGAGACACGCGGAGAGTGGTCCGGTTTTGCGGCCGTTCGGTCACAGAGAGTTTCACCTGCGCCCGGAGTGCGCAGGGCCTCCGCTCTTCTATCAGCGGCTATTTACTTCAAAATGCTCACAACGGGCGCGGCCCTCCTTGAGCTCCTCCATCATCCTCGCCCACCCTGACCGCCGACCGCGCCGCGGCCCCGCTCGGGTTGTCGTCCCTCCCCACGCCCAGCTCTGACGCTGCGCGCGCCGCTGCGGCGTACCGCTCGCGCGAGAGCGGCGCGCCCTCGCCCACCTCAGTCAGCGCGCCGCCGTGCGCCGCGCGATTCGCCTCCTCCACCACCTCCGCCGCGCGCATCCTCGCCAGCCAGCCCAGCAGCGAGAAGGCCTTGCTCACTCTGCCCCCTCCGCCGCCGAGGCCCCACCGGCCGCAGCACCAGCGCTGGAAGGCGCCGGTGCCGAGGCCGGAGGCGCGCCGGCGGGCGTGGTACTTGTCGTACTCGGCCAGGTCCATCCGCCCCGTCCGCTCGTCGGCAAAGCGCCGCCGCTCCGACTCGTTCGAGCCCGCGACGGCCGCCACCGCCTCGCCGCCCGCCCCTGCCGCCTCGTCCGCGGCCTCCGGCTCCGCGCCGGCGTCGTCGCTCGCCTCGCGCTCCTCCACCTCGTCGCCCAGCAGCGCGTGGCTGCTCGACGGGTCCGACTCCGCATCCGCGCTCGCCTGCTTGCGCGCCGCCGCGAGCAGCGACGCGTGCCTCGCCGCCTCGAGCGGGAAGAGCTCGACCAGCCGCTCGAAGGCGATGCCGCCCTCGGGCCGCCGCACCAGTGGAAGGACGCGCGAGAGCCACGCCGCGACGTGCGAGAGCAGCTCCTCCACTGCCCCCGCCGACGGCTCGCGCGCGTCGCCATGTACGTACATGACGCTTGCCAGCGAGCTGGCCACCTCCTCCTCGGCGCTGCCGGCGCGCGGGCGCTTAGTCAGGATGGAGAGCATGCTACTCGCGCCCGCCGCGCCGGAGGCATTCTCCTCCTCGGCCCGGCTCTGCTTCCCGCCGGTGGGCAGCGGAGCCTCGCTGCTGCTGGTGGCCGCCGGCGGAGGAGCGTACTGGTGGTTGGCGGCGGCCTTGGCGGCCGCCGCCTTTTGCTTGGCGGCCTCGTTTTTCCGCGCGAGGTCGTCGAGGAACTCGCGCAGCTGCTGCAGCTCGGCCAGCGCGGGAAGGCTCTCTTCCGCCGCCTCGAGCGTGGAGAGCGCGCCGGCGACGCGCTCGCGGAAGAGACGCATCTTCTCGCAGCTGCTCTTGGACGGCCGCGACAGCAGGCCGCGCAGCATCGGCCCATGATCCGCGAGGAGGCTGTCGCGTAGCTGGTGTGCTTCTCGCGCCATTCTGCTCGATTGCGAGAATACCAGCGCGGCTGCTACGCTTCACGTTCCAAGCATTCATCTGTCTAGCGTCCACCCATACCGCGTTGGTGTCCAGTCCGAGCCTGGCTGTTCTTCACCTTTCTACCTACCTACCTACTAAGCATTGAAGAGGGCGACCGCGAGGTGGCACGAAGGTTGCAGCGAGAATCGGAGAGAGAATGCGAAGAGAGATACTCGCATAATGTGGGTAAACGAAAAAAGTAGCGCCCAATTCGTCTACGTACGGCTTAGTGTGTGGTTGGGGTGGCCTCAGGCATCCCCAAGGGAGCCTCTGCGGTGCCACATAAGCAGCTTAGTGATTGTCGAGACTTTAAGGGATTCGTTTGAAGATCTCGCAAACAAGACAGACACTACTATGGTCACCAGTAAACGAAAATTCGACTTTGAGGGATAATATCTCAACAGACTGGGTGAGAGCATAGCATTATTATTGCATATTAGGCCGCATAAGGTCAGACTTGACCCCACAAGCATCCAGAACCCGATGCTCCGGCTCGACTGTGCCGGCACACTGCCTCCTCGCGCACGCGGCTAGCAGGCCGTTGCGGCCCGTGGTGCACCAGAGAGAGAGGTCGACGCGTTGCCCCCGCTGGCGACCCCGCGCGGCTCAGGCCGGCCAGAAGGTGTGTGGTGACGGCACCGTGGCAGGAGTGCGGAGATGAGCTCGCCGAACGCGAGCAGCAGATGGCCAAAGTGTGCCAGCGCGAGAGCCTCGCGAGCGGGCGCAGAAGGAGCTCGCCGTGACACGATGCCGGGCGGTGGTGGTGCTCTGGCGACTGTGCACAGTGGGCAAAGTCAGGCTGCAACAGGGCAGCACGATGGTAGTGCCCTGCTGCAGCCTGGCCTGACATGCACAGGGCGAACAGAGACACTACTATCGTCTGGCGCTCGTCACCGAATCTGGGCGAACTTCGACCGCCGCCACAGCTGGCCACGAGCACGCAGCGACAAAATGCTGACTGTACGGAAGTTGAGGCTGGTCGAGAGGAAGAGGCTGCCGTGCGAGCCGGCAGCTGGCTGCCTCAGTTGTCTCCGGCGTGTTTTTTCGGCTTCTTCATTCTTGTGCATGGTGCGGAGTGCATGTAGGTATATTGTTGGCATGGTGCGGAGTGCATTGCCGTTCTTAACGGAGTCGCTTAGGCGGCTCCGGTGGTGAGCCTGTGTGTGTGCCAGTCCGCGCCAGTCTGCGCCCTTGTCGTGCCAGTGTGCTGTGAGAGAGGCTTGTATCTTAAGAATTCTTCATTCATAGTAGCGTATACGCTACTTTCGTTTACCCACATTCTGCGAGTAGGAAGAGGCGGACGCCCAAGGGTGGGCGACGGCTTGCGCACCACACCCCTCTCCTTAAAATCCCTGTGTGTGTGGTGGCGGCGTGCCGTCCTCCCATCCCTCCCTTGGGTTGTCTGTTTTCTTTCTTTCTTTTTTACGTTCCAAGCATTCATTATGAGGATACATTGGGAGACTTCCGAGCTCTCACGCCGCGCGTAGGGCCCTTAGGGGCCTAAGCACAACCCCCTCTCCGAAGAAGGGCGGAAAGACTTTGAACAAAACAAGTCTGTCTCACAGCAGACAGGCTCGACACAGGTGCGAACTGGCGCGTACTAGTACTATATCACAGGCACACCACCGGAGCCGAAAGACACACAGTAAGTTGAAGGGTCCGTCTCGAACACGCGCCCGATACGCGTTTCGTGTGCAGACTATAGTCGAGCGCGTCGGAGAGGTGTTTCGACACCGAGTGTTTGAACGTTTCTTCGCAGAAGAAACGTCGAGAGAAAAAATCTCTCGCCGGTGTTCACAGAGCTCTGTGAACACCGGCTACTCGGCCTTAGCCGCCGGTACGTCAACAGTGCGATAGCCAAGTATCGCACTGTTGGGTCCCGATGGTGTCCAATCACAAATTCGTGCTGTCGACAGATCATGTCCCTTGGTCGACTGCACCCGCCTTTGGACGGTTCTCCGACATGCTTAGATAAGTCTTTTTTGTCTTTTTGGCTCGCCTGGCCTTCACCAGTGCGAACATATTCTTGCTCGTAGGAGCCGCTCGTCTTTCGTCCGAGCAAACGTGCGCCCGATCGCCCCATTAAGCACGTGCGAAGGGTATCCGAGCGCCGTAAACTCCCTGAGCTTGCTCGTCACGCTGAGTGCGAATCCCTCGTCATCGCTTGCCATCGCGACCACCTTGAGCAGGCATCCAACCACGATGCCCGCCTTCATTTTAGCGCATGTGAAGCTATCCCAACGATGGTAGCGCCATACTCGCGGTGCCGTCTCGCAGCCCTCATTAACGTTCTTGAGTCTCGTCCGGAAACTTCCGCTTGGGTCGAGCTCAAGAGTCGTTTCCAAAAAATGCGTCCACACGCGGGGAGCTATACACGGCACGGGTACGGACATCATGTCGGCAGAAAGTGCAGACGGCAGCCGTCGTCTGCGTGTTCTATGCCTGCACGGGCTGTACCAGAGTGGGCCCGGCATGGAGGAGACGGTGAATAACTCCAGCTTTGGGCAGGAGAGCATCAAGTCTCGTTTCGAGTTCGTCTCAGTGAGTGCGCCACCGCCCGTACTGCAGATGCTGGGAGCCGGCGGGGACTACCGCCGTTGGTGGACCAGCTTCGGGGGCGTCTACTACCCCGGGCAGCCCCTGATCGGAGAGCCGTTTCGAGACGTGAAGGTGCTGAAGCAAGGCTACGGCACTGAAGAAGAGATCGTGACTGGAATTCTCAACGAAGAGATGGACGAGACCTTCAAGTTTTTGAAGGACCTGATCGAGACGCGGGGTCCGTTCGACGGGGTGCTGGGGTTCTCGATGGGCGGGTTTCTCACCTCCATCCTGGTGCCGCTGCAGCTCTTGCAACAGCGCGACGGCGAGCTAAAAAAACGCGTGGAAGCACGGTTCAATCTGAACCGAAACTCCGCGGACGACGAGATCTCGCAGAGGTGTGTGGAGCGCACGCTGCAGGCGGCGCTGGCGCTGGCGCCGGTTTTGGATTTCAAGTTCGGAGTCATCTGCAGCGGAGCCCCAAACTACGACGTGTTTTGTCGCGAGCTAAACTTGCATCCCCAGTTCAAGTCGGCCCACGAGCCCTGCTCTCACTCCACACCAGGCACTTCTTACGCGCCCGAGAGCGTCCCCAAGGACTTGCCGAAGGACGAGATGGCTTACCCGGAGCCATTCCCGCTCCTCGTCACCGCTGATGAGAATGACTTCATTGTGCCTTTCGCCGATACAGAGCAGCTGTGTGGGCTCTTTGCAAACACCACGTTTTTGAAGGTCTCGGGCCATTCTCTGCCGACTCTGGCTCACGAGTGCAACACACAAGTCGTGGATTGGATGAAAGATCGCTCGACTTCATGAGCGTCTGCGGTACGCTGCGTGCAAGAATGTCACTGCTGTGTGCAAGCATAACTATTCTCATACGAAGCTTGCTCGAGCTCGTGGCCGATTGATGCGGCCGCCGCCCCCCGCCGCCACCGACGTTTTAAACAACAGCACATCGTTGCAAAAAAAACTTATACAACACATATGTGAGAACTGGGGTGTATATGTCTGTGTACTGTGTCTCTCTTGCCCGTAGCCCGATGCCAATCATCTGGCCCGCTGGGTGCGCTACTTAGCTCCCCGGCCCTGTGTGTGCGGTTGCCAACTGCACTCCAAGTGCTCCAAGTACGAGCTATATCTAAGGGAGAGAGTAAGTACCTCGACATGTCAGTCATATGGTATCGCGCGCGGCTTGAAGCCGTCCCCACGAACGAGGGCGGAAGGACACAGAGACATAACACGATGGGACGCTAATAAGACCCTGGCGGCTTGCGGCCAGTCACTCGTCAATCCTCGACGAGACAGAGGATGAAGGCCGTGGCCACAGCAGACAGGCACTGCGCTGCACTGTCGCTCAGGCTCTCGTCTTGCCACTGGCAGAGGTCTGCTTTGGCCACGGCCTCGATCGCGGCCTGCCGCTTGGGCCGGCCTCTGACGTTCACGCCCGCAGCGTCGGCAACGGCGCGCGCGATGTACGCTTCGGTGGCACGCTCGAGACCACCTGCCGCCCCTGCCGGTGGTGCCCATTCATCGTCGTCGCTGCCGGCTCGAGGGCGCTTCTTCAGCTTGACGGCCTTTGGCGGCGCGGCTCGCGCCGACGCGGCAGCGACCGTGGACGCGGCAGCGACCGCGCACTGGAGGTGCCGGCGGCGAGCATCGGTGCGAGCGCGTGAGCGGAGTGGTCGAGCGTCTGGCTGTGGACGAGCACCTAAGTTGGCGCCCCGCCTCTTCCCTCGGTCTATAATCAAAGAGCGCGGGGACTTTGATTCCTATTTTTGCGAGCACCACCGCTGACGCAAGGCGCTTACCTACATGTTGAGGGCGGCGATTTTGCGAGCACCTTCCTTTCTGATCTGTTCTTTCTCGCTGGACAGGCTGTGCACATACTAACCTCGCCAACAGTTTAATGGATGGCCTATTGGCCTTCCCGCCTCGCCCTGGCGAGGCATTCGTGAAAGAGCTCCCCCTCGTCCATCTTCCACTCGACCGCTACCCGGTCTCCTTCCATCCCGTTGACCGCGGCGCGGTGGCAGATAATGCCTTGCCGCTGGCGCGGCGCTCCGCCTTCTGCCTCTCCGCCGCCTTCTCGGCGCGTGCCGCGTGCGGCGGCGCGTGAGGTGAGCCCGCAGCCCTGCTCTCTACTACCAGGCAGCCAGGCAGACGACGAGTTTACAGTGATGGACGTAGAAGAGGAACAGCCAGAGGACGAGGCGCCCCAGCCGCCGAGGAAGCGGGGGCGACTTGAGAACGAACGGAGTGATTCGATGAGTCAGGGAGAGGGGGCGAGCAAACAGCATGGAGAGGATGGAGAGCCGGTGACGAAAGCCCAGAAGCAGCGCCTACGCAAACGAATGGAGGGATCGGCAAGAAAATCGGGGGATCAAAAGTCATACGAGAGAAAGACCGCAGCAAGAGGCGAAGAGGAGGAGGGGTGAGGGAAAATTTCTGAACGGCCGAGCCTGCAAAGCAGGCCCGGACAACTAAGAAGGTCCCTCGCCCAGTGTTCATAGATCGTAGTGGAACTTAACAATGCTCGTAAAACCATGATCGATGCGAGGACGCAAGTCCACCAACCTCGGCCATTCCAACGGCCAGACCGCTCGCTTAAGGCTGATTGGCTAGACGAGCGGTCTACCTCCAACGGGGCGGTCCGGGAACGCGTGGAACCTGCCCGCCTCGGTGGGAGGTGGTTTGTGGCGCCGACGGGCCGCCCTCTCCACCACCCTCGCCCAGGGATCTACAATGCTGTCTTAAGGTCCGACCTGTGGGCTCTGCCTGCGCTCGGCACCGGGCACCGCCTCGGTATACAAAATGCGCCTGCGGGCGGACCCTTACAGATCACAGATCACTACCACGTAGTCGCCCATGCACTTCAGGCCTCAGGCGCCCGCCCGCCCGGCCCGAGCAGGACCGTGGCAGGAGCCCCCCCACGCGTCGCCGCGCAAGGGGCCGCTCGGATTTGGCCGCCTTCCGTCCCCGCACCTCAGCTTGGGGATGGGCCGCTCGTCCCCCTCTTTCCCCTCCTCGACTGCACATTCCCTTTTACATACATATATGATATATTTGTTTGCATGTTTGGTGTAGGACAAATACGCGGAATAGGAATAGGATAATCAGTACCACACACACCCTTTGTTCCCCGTGCGTACTCTCTCACTGAACCGCCGCCAGCCGCTCCTCGAGCCGCTCGCGCAGCCGGCCAGCGAGTCGGTCGAGCTCCTCCTGCAGCACGGCCCGCTCGGTGTCGCTCACGCCGGCGAGCACCTCCCGGAGCGGGTCGGCGCCCCTGTCCGCCCCTGCGCGGCCGCCGCCGCCGAACGGCAGCGCGTCGACCGTCTCGAGCAGCTGCAGCGCCGCGCGCGCGAGGCGCGCCACGGCTGAGTCGGCGGCGGCGGGGCCCTGCGCCTCGAGTGCGGCGGCGAGGATGGGCCTCGCGGCGCGCGCGGCCGCGACGGGGTCCTGCGACAAGTCCCCCGCCGCGAGGGCGGCCGCCTCCTCGCCGAGGGTCGACTTGAGCAAGTCGACGAGCGAGAGGGCATAGAGCTCCTATTAATTAGCTAGTAATTCGCTAGGAATTAGCTAGTGATCAGTCGACGAGCGAGAGGGCATAGAGCTCCTCGTCGCGCGAGAGGGGCGGCGCCAGCGCGTCGAGCAGGGCGCGCGCGGAGGTGAGCGACGGCAGCGGCACCCCCCCGCCCGTGGCGGCGCCCGCGCGCGGCGGCAGCGGGACGGGCAGCTCGAGCGGCTCGGGCGGCGGCGGCAGGAACGGGAGGCGCGGCGGCTGCGGTAGCGCAGCGGCAACGAGCGGCACCGCCTTGCGAAGGGCTTGCCGCAGCAGCAAGTCGGAGGCGCCGGCCGCCTCGTCGGCGAGGAGGGCGCGGATCGAGGCCGCGTCCGGCGAGAGCACGAAAGCGGCGGCGGCGGCGGGCGTGAGGCCCTCGTCCGGCACCGCGTCGAGGTCGACGAAAGCGGCGCCCTCCTGCCGCGCGACGACTCCGGCGGCCGAGTTGACGAGGGCGGCGAGCCGCGTCGGCGTCACCACCCCCTTGAGGGCGGGGTCGCCGCCGCCGTAGAGCACCTCCTGCAGCGCCTATGCGACGCGCCCTGGGCGTGTCGGTGGACCCGCCCGGGTCGCCGCCGCCGCCGAAGCCCTGGTGCGGCGCCTTTTGCAGCTCGGGCCGGTCGGAGGAGAGCAGCTTGCGCGCGACGAAGGGGTACGCCTCGAGGACGAGGCCGTAGTCTGGGTCGGCCTGCAAGCGCGAGCCACGAGTGAGCTACTCAGCTCGTTAATAGCTCATTAATCAATTATTGAGTAACGGCCTGCAGCGCGAGCCCCTCAAGCGTGACCACGGCGCGCGCGAGCAACGCAAAGTACGGCGGGATGGAGAAGGGGATGTCGTTGAGCACGGTGAGCATGTCGCTGGTCATCGCCTGGAAGCCTCCGACGGTGGACTCGACCGAGCCGTCCATCCCGTAGAGGGTCTTGAGCTCCTGCTCATACTTCTTGGCGCCGCCGCCCTTGACGTACGGCGAGAGCGCCTTGTCCATCAGAGGGAGCACCTTGGCGCGGTTGCAGTCGGGCGGCAGGATGCCGAGGCCGACAAAGTCGTCGATCAGGGCGGCGTAGTCCTTGTTGGCGGGGTGGATGAATTAACTAATTAACTAGTAATTAACTAGTAATTAACTAACTATTAATCACTCAGGGCGGCGTAGTCCTTGTTGGCGGGGTGGATGAATGAACTATTCATTGACTCTAATCACTCAGGGCGGCGTAGTCCTTGTTGGCGAGGTGGATGAATGAACTATTCATTGACTCTAATTACTCAGGGCGGCGTAGTCCTTGTTGGCGAGGTGGATGAATTAACTAATTAACTAGTAATTAACTAGTAATTAACTAACTATTAATCACTCAGGGCGGCGTAGTCCTTGTTGGCGGGGTGGATGAATGAACTATTCATTGACTCTAATCACTCAGGGCGGCGTAGTCCTTGTTGGCGAGGTGGATGAATGAACTATTCATTGACTCTAATCACTCAGGGCGGCGTAGTCCTTGTTTGCGAGGTGGATGAATGAACTATTCATTGACTCTAATCACTCAGGGCGGCGTAGTCCTTGTTTGCGAGGTGGATGAGTGAACTATTCATCGACTCTAAGTACTCAGGGCGGCGTAGTCCTTGTTGGCGAGGTGGATGAATGAACTATTCATTGACTCTAAGTACTCAGGGCGGCGTAGTCCTTGTTGGCGAGGTGGATGAATGAACTATTCATTGACTCTAATCACTCAGGGCGGCGTAGTCCTTGTTGGCGAGGTGGATGATGGACGAGACGAACAGGTCCTGGTCCTTGCGCTGCACGCGCGCGACCAGACCAAAGTCGATCAGCACGAGCCTGCGCCCGCCGGCAGGCACGCAGGGGGGCGGGTCGCGCCGCGCAACAGCCTTCTCCTTCTCCTCGGCGGGCGTGCGCGTCGCTCGGGCCTCGCTGGGCTAGAGGGCGGGGCGCGGGCCAGGCGGGTGAGGGGGGAAAGTCGCACCGCGCACGGCTCTGGTCGTGCGGCCGCATCAGGTTACCCGGGTGCGGGTCCGAGTGGAAGAAGCCTAGAGAAGGGTCAAAGAAGCCGCTCCGCGAGACGCCCGAGGCGCGCCCTGCCGGGGGCCGGCGGCGGAGGCGAGGGAGTGGGGCCTGTCTGCAGCAGCTGCACGAGGAAGCACTCCTGACCGATGGCGACGAGCTCGCGGACCTCCTCGGTCGAGCACTCGGACAGCTTCCGCCCGTCGATCCACTCGCTCACGAGCACGCGCCGCGTCGTCAGCGCCTCGTACACGCGCGGCACCGCCACGTCGGTGACGCCCGCCTCGGCGAGGCCGCGCGCCATCGTCTGCATGTTCGCCGCCTACGCGGCGCGCGGCACCGGCCTGAGACACGCGCCCCAAGCTCTCCCGCCGCCTGCCGGCGCGCTGCTAGGCGGAGACGGAGGAGGCGGAGAAGGAGGAGGTGGAGAGGGAGGAGGAGGAGACGGCGGCGGAGGAGACGGCGGCGGAGGAAAAGGAGGAGACGGAGGCGGAGAAGGACCGCATGTTGCAGTGAAAGAGTGAACGACTCGCCTCGTTCTTGAAGTCCAGCTCCGTGTAGAAGCCGACTGCCCACTCGTTGAGCAAGCCGACGTAGTCGGTGCGCTGCTGCGGCGCGAAACGCTCGACCTACACGCGGGACACGCGCGCGGCCCTGGCGCTGGGCGCGGACCGCGGAGGGCGCGGGCAGCGGCGGCTCGCCAGCCCCTGGTAGACCTCCGCCGCCCGCCGCAGCACGTACAGGTCTTTGGAGACGAGGGACTGGACTCCCGGCCGCTGCACCTTGACCGCCACAGCCTCGCCTGTGGGCAATCTTCGACGACGGTGAGGGCTCCAGCCGAGGGGAGCGAGTCGACCGCCGCCGGGCTCGCCGCTCGAGCGGAGCGTCGCCCGGAAGACCTGCGCCAGCGAGGCCGCCGCCGCCGGCTCGGCCGAGAAGTCGGAAAACAACTCGTCGATCGGGGCGCCAAGCTCCTCCTCGACCATCTCGCGCGCCACGTCAGCGGGGAAGCCCTCGACGCCGTCTTGCAGGATGGTGAGCTCGTCGAGCGCCGCCTGAGGCAGGATGTCGGGCCGCACCGACATCATCTGTCCCATCTTGACGTACGTCGGCCCCAACTTTTGGATCCGCTCTCGGGCGTCGCGTGCGAGCTCCGAGGCCGAGTCGTTCAGCGCGTCGGTGCCGCCCGAGACGAGGAGCGCCGCCACGCGCGTGAGGAAGGGAACGCTCACCGACAGAAACTCCGCCCAGCGCGACTGCAGCGCGCCGCCCTGCCCCTCCCAGTACTTTTGGATCGCCTCCTTGTCATACACCAGCGGAAGGCCCTCCTCGTCGACCAGGCCGGTGCGGCTCTCGTCGATGGCGACGAAGCTGTCGTCCGCGTCGGGCGCCTCGACGTCCTGAACCGAGCCGGCCACCTCCTGCACCACCGTGGCAGCGGCGGTGGCCGCCTGCGCCATCCCCGGGAGCTGCATCGCCGCGGTCGCGGCCCGAGGAAAAAGAGAGGAGGAAGTTGACGCGTCGGGAGGGTGATGCCACACGCCCGTGCGGAAGGCTGCCGCCGGAGCGACGCAGATGAGCGCGATCAGGGTCGACATCGCGCTCGAGGAACAGGTGCGGTCCGGGCGAGCGATGCGGAGAGTTCCTCGAACCGGCATCTGTGTGAGCGTTTTTTTTTGAGTTTTAGACGCTGTTTTCTTTCTTTCTTAAGCTCCAGGAAAAATCATTTAACCTCAAAATTCTATCCCGGCTCGGGACTGGGAGGAGGACCCGCTCGGGTTCGACACCAACCCGATGCTGCTCCGCGCCATGTGCATGGCGTTCGAGTGAACGCCGTGCAGGCAGCCCGTGCCTTTTGGTGTACCCCGTTTGTACCGCGTCCTGTGCCCCCGAGTTCATTTAATATATACTATCCCGGCTTACCTGGGGCGCCGGCCGAAGCTGAGAAACCTCGGGTGGGTCGGGTGCAACGCGAGAATTCTTCATAGCGCCCCGTTCGGCACATCATGTTGTTTGCGAGGGCGACAGTGCGAGCGGCATCGCGACGCCACTCCACCCTCTCTCGCTCCTCCGCCGCGTCCGCACCCGCCGCCGCCGCCGCCGCCGCGGCTATCGCCGCCGCCGCCGGCACGGTCGCGCTCCAGCGCGCCGCGTCGTGCGAGGCGGACGATGACATCCGCTTCCAGGACCTGCCCGCCGAGTATGAGGAGCAGCGCTTCCTGCCGGCGAGGCCGTACCCGGCGTGGGACCGGAACTGGGACTACTGCGAGCCGTCGGACCGCGAGGTGGCTCGCGCGCTCCGCCACGCCTGGCCCATCGCCGACTATGCCGACGCCGTGCGATCGCTCTACGCCGAGCACACCAACAGGTCGAGCGAGCGCGTGGAGCGGCTGCTGGAGCGGACGCCCGAGGCGGAGCTGCCTGCGCTCTACCGGCGCGCGTACCTCGAGCACGCGTACGGAGGTGCCACGGCCGCTCTCTCGGCTGCGCTCTCTTCATCCTCCGTCTCCTCCCTCGCTCCTCCCCGTCTCCCTCTCGCCCCCGCCTCGCCTCGCCGTCACCCGCATGGCCACCACCGCTGCCGCCCCAGGCGCGCCCACCCGCCACATCATCCTCGTGCGGCACGGCCAGTACGACGAGCAGAGGCCGCTCTCGCGCGCTCTCTCCCGCCCTGCCGGCGTGCCCGACCGCGACTTTGGCATGCCGCTTCTCGGACCTTTCCTAGACCCTTCCTGGTGCCTTCCTGTAGGCGTGCCCGACCGCGACTTTGGCATGCCGCTCGACGAGGCCTTCCCGCGCCTCGACGCCGAGCAGACCCTCACGCCGCTCGGCAGGCAGCAGGCCACCGCCACCGGCCGGCGGATTGCGGAGATGCTCCGCGGCGCGCTGCAGGAGGAGGGGCGCGAGGCGCACGTGCGGCTCCACGTGAGCACGCTGACCTAGAAGCGGACACACGTATTCAGGTATCCGAACTAGCGCCCGAGAGGACGCGCATTCAGCTGTGTTCACCCGTCTTCCGCTGTATCCACTGTACTCTTCTCCGTTGTATTCTCGCGGTGCTCTGAAGACGCTGCACAACACCGTATTCGTGCCCCGAGGTTGGCGTATTGGCACGTAGGCCGCCCCGAGATTGGTAGATGCACCACTAGTACTCTGCACACCGCCGTATGCATGGCCACCTACTCCGCACGAGTCCGTCTCCCCGCCCTGAGGTTGGCGTAGTCTGCTTCTTGTTAGAGCCAGTGCGCGCCAGTCCCGTGCCCAGTGTCGTGCGAGGGAGCGTTGTTGTCACCTTCTAGGCACCCTGACCCGCGCCAAGGAGACCGCGGACCTCATCGCCGCAGAGCTGCCCGCCGGGAGGGTGCGCAGGCTCGCGCCGGACCCGAACTTGGCCGAGGGGGACCCCTCCTCGGAACCTTCTCGGAACCTTCTCGGAACCTTCTCGGAACCTCCCGCAGGCTCGCGCCGGACCCGAACTTGGCCGAGGGGTACCCGCCCGCGCACCGCATCCCGTACTCCAAGGGCGCGCTGGCGGACGGTGCGCGCGAGGTGCACGTCGAGGGCGCGCGCATGGAGGCCGCTTATCGGGCCCTCGTCTACCGGGGCAGGCCGCCCTACCCCCCCGACGACGGCGCTGGCGGCGGGCGGGGCGACGGCGCTGCGGAGGCGGCCTCCGACGGCGCCGCCGGCGCCGCGACCGCCCCCGGCAAGCTCAGCCCCCGCGCGAGCAAGCCGCCGCGCGTGTCGCAGCACGAGTACGACATCGTCGTGTGCCACGGCAACGTGATCCGCTACATGGCGCTGCGCGCGCTGCAGCTGCCGCCCGAGGCGTGGCTGCGGCTCTGCACCTACAACTGCTCCCTCACGCACCTCAAGATCCGCCCGACGGGTTCCGTCTCGATGATCTCCCTCGGCGACACGGGCCACCTCTCTCTCGACGAGACCAGCTTCAGCATGCACGCAGGGTACGAGTGGTGAGGGGGGACACGAGTGCGACGGTCGCGTGTGGCGCAGTGCTCAAACTTTACCGGTATGAGACCGGTATTTGGCGATATTTTGATTAGCTTTGGAGTGGTATGGTATAGTGGTATGCGAAAGTGGTATGCGGGGTTTTCATTAGTTGTAGCGGCTGTCGGTGTGGTCCCGGGGGCGCGTGAAACCATGCAAAAGTGCGCGGGTATTACCCGGGTGTATACCCGGGTTTTTCCAGGTATGTATGTGTATCTAAGGAGAGAAGTCAACTTTGATGGGGGCAGCCAAATTTGTCGGTGGACCGCAAATCGTGGAGTTGCGAGTCACGCTCGGGCAGACAGCATCGATGCCGTCGCCGGACGCGGCGGCGAGGCACACGGGCGCCGGCCCGTGGCGCGTCGGCAGGCTACCCGCAAAATGCCCCGGTATTTTGCCGATTTTGCCGATTTTGCCACCAAGAAGGCACTCCGACTCGCTTTGATTTCCGTGAGGCAACTGGTATCCCGTACCACTTTTTGATTAGTGCAGGCCTTGGCGGTTTGATGAGCCAAAAACTCCCATACCGGTAAAGTTTGAGCACTGCGTACATCAGCCGACCCCGCACATATCTTCTTTTTGTCAAGTTGTAGTTACTCTATTGTTCATGAGAGACGCACTACAGCCGTACGCACGCAAGAGCACGTGCTGGGGTGTGGGGGCGAGATGCTCATGCTGCGCCCCTGGAGCTGCGCCTGCACATGTGGCGCGGATCTCCGCACGGCAGAGCGATCCCCGCACAGCGCACTCCGGAGTCTCGGCTGTGTGCGGACCCGCTTAGTGCTGACCAGACAGGGAGGAGAAGAAGAGCGAACGGGAAAGGGGAGATGCGGCGGGGGCGCGGCGGGCGACGCCCCGTGCAAGCAGCGCCCACGTGCCTGAAAGCGTGCCTCGCTGGGCTCGCGCACAGGTCAGAGCAGATCGAGCGCGCTGTCAGAAGAGGCCGCAGCTCGGGCGCGGTCGGCATCTTCGACCGTGCGCAGCGCGCCGAAAGAGGGCATGGTGAAAGAGGGCATGATGCGGAGGAGTTCCGGGTCGTCTTCCGAAACTCCCTCCAGGAAGGACTGGAGGTCCAGCTCGTCGCCCTCGCCGGCCTCCTCCTCCTCAGGCACGACGTCGCAGCGGCCGTTTGGGTCGCGGCGCCGTTTGGCCTGCCCAAGCGGCGCCTTCAAAACAGACCGGCCAGCCCGAGAGCCCTGGGGACTTGCGTCGGGTCGGCCTTGAAAGGCAAAGCGCGGCCAAAGCGCGAGGGGCGGCCCTTGTGGGTGCGATGCCGGGGGGGAGCTGTAGTTGGCGCGGGGCTGGGTTGGGTCCGCCGTGACCTGCGTCGCGTCGGCGACTCTCTGCATTGGAGCTGGAGTGACACCTGGAATGACCGGGGGACAGAGCTGCGCACACTCCCGCTCCGCAGAAACCATAACCGACTCCTATTCCCCGCGTAACCGACTCCATCTTGACTCCGATCTCATTCCATTCATCGCATCCCTGGAATGTTTTATTGCATCTCAGTACAACCTGGAATACACACTCCATCCACAGCAGACCCATGCTGGGATGACATGCGAATTGATTGAGACCTGGGCGATGCGGATCTCAGCCTCTACAAATACAGCAAAATCGCGCTCACCTCTACAGTCACGCGCCGGACGCATGTAGAGCTCTAGCTAGAGCTCTACAGCGCTCCATCCTGACAGAGACAGATTGGCGTGTATATACTTTTGCAAACAAAAAGGAAAACAGAGGGTCCCCAGCACTTTGCGTTTCCGGAAATTTCCAGGGAAAACAGAGGGTGTTTGGTGCTCCATTCTGTTTCTCTCGAGTTTCCCTCGGGAAACTCGCGAGTTTCCCTGTGACTGACTGAGTCTGAGAGCTGGTCTGGGGCAAAATCTGAGGCGAAACCGAGGAAACCGGCAAAATACCTCGGGGTATTTTACAGGTATACTCCAAGTGCATACCCGGGGTTTTCCAGGTATACCCGCAAAATACGGCGCGACTCCGGCCCCCACTCCTCGCGTGTGACGCTCGCAGAGGATTGTCCACCGTCCTCCCATACCTCCACTTCGCACCATCCGCCCGCGCCTCTTTCCCTCACCGTTGCGAGGCTCGGCGCTCCGGTCTCATCTTGCATTGTTGCCCTGAGCTCTCCAGTTTCCATCCATTCGAAGACCGGTGCCTCACCTTGTGTGGGTGCGACCCATCGCCTGCCCTGCCCGTTATCATTCATGCATGTCCATGCATTCCCAGGCAGGTCGCTCGTTCGCACGCATTCCTGCCAATCTATTGGGCGAGGGCGATTGAGAACGGCGTCTCGGAGGATGATTAGCCACGCCTCTGGCAGGCTTTCAATTAATCGGCTTGTGGAGGCACGCGACTCCAGACTTTTTTTATTTTAGGTATATTGTTGGCAGACTGATCCTTTACGCGCCAATGTATCACACCTCACGGTGCAGATGCTTGGGTCATGTGGAGTAGCCGAGGTAAACTAGTCCCGCAACCTTTCGCCCACTCAACCCCCCCTTTGCCATCACTCACCCCCCCTTTGCTGGACAACCACACACAAGGCCCAACCCTCGCCTTTCCCGTTCCGCTCGCGCTGGCCCCGTCGCATCGACGCACATATGGCCGCGGGGAGCTGCACGCCCGAGCGGCGCGACGCCTCCTGCTCACGCAACCCGCCGCTCCCTCTCCGCTCCCACCATGCGATGCGCTTCGCTGTCGCCCGAGCGGCTTCCCCAAATCTCGGCCTCACAATGCCTGCCGCCTCCCGTTCGCAGGCGAGGCTGCTGCCATCGAGGAGCCGCGAGACGCGGCCGCTGCCGCTCGTTCTCCACCCTTACACCGAGCGAACCCGCCCGATTGCCCCCACTCTTTTCCGGCGAGAGAGCGACGCAGCCCGCTCGCTTGCCAATCGCTGCCCGGCTCCAGTCCTAGCGCCGAGGACACGAGAGAGTGTGCCGGTCGTCGCGATGCTAACGCCGAGGCGTGCTGCCCGTAGGTGTGGCAGTGACCTGGCTCGACCCTCTCTCTCTCTCTCTCTCTCTCTCTCTCCGTCGCTCGATTTCTTTTTGTCTGTGTAGGCGAGGCTCGAAGGCGGGGGTGGAGCGGTGGGGGGGGGAGATTGCGACGATTGATCCAATTCTCGGAGATTCCTCGAGATATTCTCCTCCCCATATACCCCCTGGAGACATCTCCATAGCAGTTTTTGACCCTCTTTCACATGGTCATGATCCCGTAGGTGCTGAAACCAGTCATACAGGAGTGCTCTGCACAGTCTCCAGTCCTCAGTCATAATAGGAGTGCTCTGCACAATCTCCAGTAACCAGTAATAATAGTACTCTGCACAGTCTAGTACCAGTAATAATAGGAGTGGCTCTGCACAGTCTCCAGTCCCCAGTCATAATAGGAGTGCTCTGCACAGCACAGTCCCCAGTAATAGTACTGCTCTGCACAGTCTAGTAACCAGCAAGAATAGGAGTGCTCTGCACAGTCCCCAGTAATAGTACTGCTCTGCACAGTCTAGTAACCAGCAAGAATAGGAGTGCTCTGCACAGTCCCCAGTAATAGTACTGCTCTGCACAGTCTAGTAACCAGCAAGAATAGGAGTGCTCTGCACAGTCCCCAGTAATAGTACTGCTCTGCACAGTCTAGTAACCAGTAAGAATAGGAGTGCTCTGCACAGTCCCCAGTAACCAGCAGCAGCAGGACTCTGCACAGTCCCCAGTAATAGTACTGCTCTGCACAGTCTAGTAACCAGTAATAGTACTGCTCCGCACCGTCTAGTAACCAGTAAGAATAGGAGTGCTCTGCACAGTCCCCAGTAACCAGCAGCAGCAGGACTCTGCACAGTCCCCAGTAATAGTACTGCTCTGCACAGTCTAGTAACCACAGTCATAATAGGAGTGCTCTGCACAGTCTCCAGTAACCATCCCCAGTAATAGTACTGCTCTGCACAGTCTAGTAACCAGTAATAGTACTGCTCTGCACAGTCTAGTAACCACAGTCATAATAGGAGTGCTCTGCACAGTCTCCAGTAACCAGCAGCAGGACTCTGCACAGTCCCCAGTAATAGTACTGCTCTGCACAGTCTAGTAACCACAGTCATAATAGGAGTGCTCTGCACAGTCTCCAGTAACCAGCAGCAGGACTCTGCACAGTCCCCAGTAATAGTACTGCTCTGCACAGTCTAGTAACCACAGTCATAATAGGAGTGCTCTGCACGGTCTCCAGTAACCAGTAATAATAGTACTGCTCTGCACAGTCTCCAGTAACCAGTAGCACTTTACTTCCACACGTTGTTCTTCACACAGCCTTCACATGAACCCGTCACACAGCCTTCTCCATGAGCTGCGTCTATCGACTCTCTTTGGCGTGCATACCCCCGCGGGGGGGGGGAACTGGTTCAACATGAAGTTCAAACTCGAGTGGGTCCCGGCCCCGGGTAAAAAATTAAAGTTTTTTCTTCCGCGGCCGCCGTTTGTTAAAAAGAGGGTTCGGGCCCGGGGGGGCCCCCCCCCCCCCCCTCGCCGGGCTTGGGCTGCCCCCCCCCCCCTTTCCTTCTCAACACCCCCCCCCTAGGTTCCGGACTTTCACGGCGGCGCAAAACTCCTTTACGTACAGAAACTTAGAACATGCGCAGCGGCACACACGGAGGTGAAGAAAGCCACACAGCTTGCTGAAGTTATCCCACCAGCATATAAGTTACGGGGGCGGGGTCCCGTACTACGTGCATGACGAGTTCAGGCTCGCCGGGTGCTGGCGTGAATTTCTCCTCACACCAAGGTTGTGTGCATAGTGAAGAGCGCCAACGAATTCTTCCCGTGTATTAGTCAAGGTAAGGTATAAGGTATTTCTAAGTCAACATGTGAGTGCGTCGTGAAAGACTACGTTGCGGGTGCGATACTCGCCGTTTGTGGGCAGCAGAGCAAAGCACAGGTGATCCGGGTGGCCGACACGTGAGATGGCGACGTACAGCTGTCCGTGCGAGAAGCACGGCTGTGCGAGGTAGACTCCGACACAGCGCAGCGACTGGCCCTGGCTCTTGTTGATGGTCATGGCGAAAGCCGCGCGGACTGGAAATTGTCGACGCTTCCAGTTGAAGGGGAAGGCGCCCTCCTCTGGCTTGATGTCGATGCGCGGCAGCAGGACGATGCGGCCGCAGTGCGTGCCCGAGATTATCTTCGCCTCGAGTAGGCGGCCATTCGAGCGCAGCCGGCGTGACAGAAGGCGGGTGCCGTTGCAAAGGCCCTCCGCGGGGTTAAGGTTGCGCAGCAGCATGATCGGCATGTTCGGTTTGAAGACGAACTCGTGCTCTGGCATCCCTGAGGTCCGCTGTGAGTTGAGATATTCGATTTCGCACGGCACCGCGCTGCTGGGGAATCGGCATGCACTCGGCCTTGAAGAGCAGCGCATTGCAGCGGCCGCAAGTCGCGTCGCCGATACGTCCAAAGGCAGTGGTAGCCTCCGTGCATAGTGAGGGAGCGGCTCCACTATCGGCGGTGAATAGCGTTGTGTTGCACCGCGCCACCTTGCGGCGGAGCCCGCGCCGAGACAACGCAGTCACGCCGAGACGGCGCATGCGGCTGGTGGCTGCCTCATCGCGAGAATCTTGTAGCTCAGAAACGTCAGGCCCACGTAGGTCGAGTATCGAGCTCGTGGATTGACCTACGAGTAGACACGAGTTGACCAAGATGCCGGGGGGGGGGTTGTGGGGGGGGCGCAAGCCCTCCCCACCATCATTACTGTTACTGCAGGCAACAGCAGTGGTCTAAGGAGTCGCAAAGGGCAGAGAGGCAGCCTTGCGCGCTGTCGAACGCTCCCCCGGCCCAGACAGAGGCATCACAATCATGCTCTGGCCGGCGTCTGGTGGGTCAGCATTGCTCAACACACGCCGCAACCAGCCTGAGAGCAGATGATGGGGCGGGAGGGTGGACGAACGTGGAGCCGAGCTTGGGAGCGGGAGCGCGCACGTGCAGCGGTGCTGAGGGCTGTGTCAATGGCACCTCCCGCGGCCGCACGGGCGACGACGGATCGCGCAGGCATGTTGTTCATGTTGTTATCCGCTGCCGCAGTGCTTGGAGGCATCGGGCGTGGTTGCCGTCTCGCACGGGTGGCTGCAGCTGGTGTATCCTCATTGCGGCCGTTTGACGCCATCGAGACCAATTAGCAAGAGTCGACCCTGTCACCGGGAGGTGAAGGTCGACGGGTGAGCTTCCGCAGCGTCGGATGCGTCGGCTTGGGTGTCCGCGGCACAGCCAAGATGCGCCGCACAGCAACGAAACCGCCGATGGAATCGCGGTCATAAAAACAAATCCGCAACAGATTTCTAATTGGTGAGGGCATTTCTGGCTTCCGTTGCGGTTGCGGGTGGGACTACATACACTGATAGCTTTCTATGCTCTCCCTGTCTTTCTCTCTTGAAAGAAGCACCTGGCTGGCTGGCTGAGAAGGGCTGGACTCGTAGTGCTCGCAGGGTAATTTCCAGGTATACACGGTTCTTCGCGAAATTCCGGTCATTTTGCCGATTTGGCCTAAAATTTGGCTGATTTTGGCCCAAACCAGTCTCAGACTCGGCTCAGAGCCCAAAATTTGACGATTTCCACGGAGATTTCCCGGGAAAATACAAGAAAAAGAGAGGGTGTTGTAGAGAAAAAAGGAAGGAAAACAGACGGGGCGCGAGAGGGAAACCTCGGACAGCCCAAAGACGAAGCGGTTGGAGAGGCAGGCGGCGCACGAGGAGAGGCAGCCAATGGAGCCGACGAGGTAAGTAGACACGAGTTGACCATTCTGTCCCGGGGGGGGGGGGG